CATCTTTTGTTGTGTTTTTAATCCCTCCTTCACAGCTCAGTGGCAAACTTTAGAAAATGTGCTTGTGCGTCTTTTCCAGCAGCAGCTTCGTAACAAAGACCAGGTGGCAGCAGAGAGGAGAGGTGAACGAAGTAGAAACATGAGATGAGCAAACGCCAGCTTGCTGAATGCATCAGTGGTGATTTGATAAATGCAGAATAGAAATTAAAAAGGCATCTAATTTGAAGGATAGATTTTTTTCAAGTCTGCCTTAACAGAATACGTACATGCCCTCATGTACCAATACTCACTCAGTGTTGTCTAAGGTTATTGTGCTTTTAGTTCACAATTTGTGTTCAATCACTCGGTAACTATGGATGCAGTGCTATCAGGATACATTACCCACGATAATGACATATCATGACACAGTAATCCTGCAATCTTTAACACACTGCAAGACAGTTGTCTAAGACACGTCATAAAATCTGTGTAACTGAAGGTATGTATGTATTCACTGCACTGTGGTGTTCATGGTCAGATTCTTTACATCGGAGTGCTTTTTCACCGCATAAATAAAGCATTTGGTATATAAACGACAACATAAAGACCTTTATGTTAGGAAATTTACAAATTAAACAAACAAACAACAACAACAACGTACTGGAAGACATATATTAAAAATTAAAAAAAAAAAACAGGACGACTACTTGTTAGCTTTAGAAGTTTAAATCAGAGTCACTCATCCATCCATCCATTATCTATACACCGCTTAATGCTCACTAGGATCGTGGGGGGCTGGAGTCTATCCCAGCTGACTTAAGGTGAAGGCAGGGGACACTTGGACTCCACGCAGAAAGATTCCAGGTGTCCTCACCAGGACACGAACCGGTGACCTTCTTGCTGTGAGGCAGTGATGCTAACCACTGATCCACCTTGCAGCCCCTCATCACAATACATTGCCAGTGAATAACAATGGTGTCACGATGTAGGGTTTCTGCGATGTTTCATACTTAGCAAGAAAGTACATCATCATAGAATCTGTCCAACTAAACATAAAAAACATCCTTGAGGCGCCGCTATAGCTCACCTGGTTGAGCTGGCGTCCCATGTATAGGGGCTATAGTTCCCTGACGCAGCGGTCATGGGTTCGAGTCCCACTCATGACCCTTTGCTGCAATTTCTTCTATCTCCACTTTCCTGTCTCTCTCTCTGTCCTAACTAATAAAGCCAAAAAATATCTTTAAAAAACAAAATCCTTGAAAATGGCAACAAAAAGAGAAAAAAAGCAGGAATGATGTATTTATTCACTGCATGGTGGTGTCAGTGTGTGTGTTATCGTCATCATTCAATTTTAGTAATGTATCACGATATAGTGATACTGTGATAATCAATACGCTGCAAAATATTCATCTATGATAAAGAAATGTGTCACATCCTACACAGTGTTATTACCTTGGCAGAAAGGTCAGTCATCAGTTCAGAATCATTGTGGGAGTGACAGAGTGAGTTGCAATACGATCATGATATGTTGCCAACAGCAGTGATAGTATCACGATACAACGATTCTATGATACAGTATTTGTGTAACTGAAGAAGAAAAAATACCCTGAAGAAGGCAAAGAGCAGGAATTGTTTTTATTCACTGCATAGCGGTGTCAGTGTGTGTGATGTCATTACTATTCAGTTTTATTAATGTGTCATCTCAGTTCCTTTCCTCTCAGATTTGCTGTCGTCCATTTGTCCCGTCAGTTTCTTCTTCTACACTACAGGTCGGTGAACTTTTCTTCAGCTACCCTCATTCATTCACTTCACCTTCAAACTGTGTTTTTTTGGGGGTTTTTTTGGTTTTTTCTTTTTTTTTAATACACAAATAGGAAGAAGAAGCGATAAGATATGTTGCCTCGTCTGTATTTTGTCTGACCGTAACAAAAAAAAACAATCTGAAAAACTAATTCAGACGGCTGAAGGATGAGATGAAAAAATTTCAAACTAATTTTCACTCAGAATAAGGGCTGTGAATTTGACCCATTAATTACACTGGGAGGCACTTCAGCCATTACATGAACCATTACAGTGGGCAAAAATGCCTCAATGCTGACATGTGAGAACTGTTATAAGGAAAAGTCCTGCTTACCTCCTGATGTCCTGGATGAAAGTCTGACCTCATCCTTCTAGATGCTGTTTAACTCACATCACTGTCCTTACTCCTGTGTAGATAAATAAATGTTTAATCAGCAACATGAAACTTTTGAGGGACCCTAGCAGGAGTAACAATATAAAGAAAAAAGGAAGGGAGGGGCAGAGAAAGCCAACAACAGTGGCAAAAACAAACAAACGAACAACAATAACAACAATGATGTAATACTGTTAATATTCTAAAACTGTAAAATATAGTAAAAATAACAGCAATTTTCAGTAAAATAACGGCATTTTTGCTGACTTAAACATTACAACACACATTGCATAACATACATTGTAAAAGAATAAAATAAATAAAACAGATTTTTGATGTACACATAATTTGCAGTTCTGTCCCTTTTTTCTTTACTGTTGATGTGTAAATTGAAGCTTTTTTCTGTAATTTTACTGGATTATATCAACATTTTAGCCAGACAAGACAAATCTAAAAAATAAAAACAGTTAAGATTTCTGCTTATGTTTTTCTCAGTCTTTACTATCTGTCATTTTTCATTTCAAATATTGTCAAATAATGTGTAAAACTGTTGTTTTTTTCTGCTTTCAATACAATTAAAAAAATTATAATAATACTAAAAAAATAATGAAACACTATTTGTAGAAGTATGGCCATTATTTGCAGTTTTGGCCTTTAAATAATAATAATAATGTCAATTAAGGCTTTTTCTGGGATTTTATTATTTATCTGTAATTCAAGGAAACAGGAAACATCTGTAAAAATAATAAACAAATTGTTGGGGGGAAAAATCCAATTAACAACTGTTGAAAAACTTTCAGTGTTTTATTTAGTTTTTGTTTGTGTTTGTTTTACAGTGTAGTGAGATCCGCTCCTGTCCAGTCAGAGCTGATCAGCAGGTCAGAGACGCGTCCTGGAGCTGTCCGGTGCTGAAAACACTCAGACACAGTTTGTAAAGCCCAGTTTGTGACACGGTGTTTGTGTTGTGACCTTTAATCAGCCTCCAGATGATCCATCAGCAGCTGATCACAGATAACAAACCTCCCGGGGCCGAGCCTCGGCTCTGATTGGCTGCCCGCCTCGTTGTCCACTCATGTCTCTGCCTTCATGTATGATGCTGACGTGTTCCAGATTAATGGGTCGCCGTATAATTAGATTCATGAAGTATTTCTGGAAGTGGCCCACTTGTGCTCCTGCAGGACTCATTCTTGGTTTCTCACTGCCACCTTGTGGATTTCCGTCTCTCTCCTCCTCCGGCGTGTCATGATGTGGTCGCTTACATCTTCAGCAGCCTGTGCGCACAGAAAGTGCCAAAATAAGATGCGTATTGTGCTTCTAAAGACAAGTGTTGGAAGCTTTAGTTGTTGGAGTCTGTTCATGTGGCTCGGTCTTTGGAGGCACTGGTGGGGCTGAAATACACAAAGAGCAACAATTACAGGAGTGTTTTGTGGCGCTTTCTTTAATGTCCTCTTGTTTTTTTCCACAAGAACAAAAAGCAGCGCTCTTCCTCCTCCTCCTCCTCCTCCTCCTCCTCCTCCCCTCCTCGATCCTGATCCCTCCTCACGTAATGTGTTGCTCATAGCATCAAACTTCAACTCCATGTTCGTGACCAGGATTCAAACCAGAGCTGTATAGATCCGAAGACAATCAACACTTCTTCTTCTTCTCCCCCACCCAAAAAAAAAAAAAAAAAGTCACACTTTAGGGGCCGAAAGCGGCGCCATTCAGTGTCCAGCAGGCTGCAGACTGTCTGCTCTGCTCCTCAGATATGCAGCACCGGTGGAGGTAGAGTCCACTCACCGTGACTCATTCGTGCGCAATGACAGGCAGCAGACAAGGCTTCCTTTAAATGTCAGCAAATCAAAGCTACTTGAACAAAAGCAAGGTCACCTTGTGTGGGATCCGCCGGAGAAACTGAAGCTCAGCTCTGTGTGTGTGTGTTTTTTTTTTTTTTTCTTTTCTTCGCCTTGTTGGAGTGTACCAAAGAGCGCAGCAGTCTCTCCTTCAGGATTTAATTTGGTGATAAATTCACTTTGGTTCTCCTGGACTGCACCTGTTCACCTGGACACCTCGGTAAGTGGCTCCGTTCCTTCCTCCATCTGCGGGTTCGACTCGTCCCAACTAACTCCTCTTTATTGTCATTGGAGATGCTCTAACAGGTGTTCTATAGGTGCTGTCTGAGAAAATGACACATTTAAGTGGAATGATTGGTGTGTAGTTTGCATGTAAATTGCATGTTTTGTTTTTTTCTCTTAACATGAACACATTTTGGTTAAATTCTTTAACTGAGTGGTTGGAGGAAGATGTTTTTCTGAGGATGACTTTAACCTGCAGCGCGGTCATCAGTGCGTAAATCACCTTGGAGTGTTATTTATCCTTCAAGTTTTGTGGAGTAAAGGCGAGATTACTGATGAAAATGACATTAATGTGACGAGGATTTTTTATTTTTATGGCCTCACACCTGAACACTGTGACTCTCAGGGTGTTTTAGCCTCATCCATCCTGAGCAGCATCACACACATGATGCTGGAATAATGCGCTCCTGTCACTGAGGATTAATTGATTCAGATTTTTTTTTTTGGTTACATTATTTTTTTTGTTAGCATCTTGTGGGGGAGAATTTGAATCTCAACTTGGGAGACAGGCTGCGTCCTTGTCGTCCACAGGTCTGCAAGTTGAGCATCTCTTTTAATGTTAAAGAGGCACATGTGTTTAAATATCCTGTGAGGTTTTCTGTCTCCCTTTTCATCCTGGATAGACTAAAGAGAGACATTTTTAGGAGGGGAATAAAAGAGGAGGTAACAAAAAAAAAAAAAAAAAGTGACCAGGCTTTTTGAGGTGAGGACTTTGGCACAGGGTCTCGGGAGTGATGGCGGCGTCTGCACCCTCCTCCTCCGGCGGCGAAGCGGATCCCAACTCGACAAATTTACGGCCACCGGGCTCAAGTAGGTCCATCACAGATAAAATGCTATTTCACGTGTGCTATTTACTTTGTGGGCGATGCCATTAATCATTTTCATCGAGGGAGAGAAAGAGAGAGAGAGACAGAGACAGAGGAGGAGAGAGAGAGAGAGAGAGAGAGAGGGAGAGGAAAAATCCGCTGCCATTTGTGAGAGCTTCCTTCGCCACAAATCACGGCTGCATTTCATTCAGCATACAGACCTCCCGGCTTCTGCTGACACACTGATGCTGCTGTCACTAAATGATGTCCTCTGCTAACGTTACTATGAAGCCAATTAGGCTGGAAGACGAGCTGCAGCACCGGAGCATCATCAATATTATTATTATTATTATTATTATTATTATTATTATTATTATTATTATTATTATTATGCTGATGTTGTCAGATGATGCATTCCTCTTTTTATTTTATTTTTTATTTTTCTTTATTGGCTCTCCTAGAATAAAGTGCCTGCATGCAAGAAGAAGAAAAAAAGAAAGAAAATTGCCCCTGAAGTGGCTGTTAATTCACCCATATTAAATTGCCCCTAATGGCACTCTTAAGCATTGTAGCCTTCAAGCAGGGGCACTGTAGCCACCACAGTCCTTTCACTGTCAGCTGGTAGCAAATATAAATCATAATAAGCCTGATTCTTGCAGTGAATAGAGGTCTAACATCATGTAACAGGTGTAGAGACACAGAGAGAGAGAAAAAAATGCAAATATTGGTGGATTTTACCTGTAAATAAAATGCACTTAATCTCCTGCACCTTGTAGCTGGTGCTGCTCTTATTGTTATCTCTCTGCCTGCGTTAAATTAAGGCCACATCTGCAAACGTATTATCAGCTCTGCATCCTCGTTGCTCTGTTTTTCTGTTTTTTTATTTTTTTTTTTAGTTGCCTCTTTGTTGTCCATCTCATTTCCATTTTGGGGAAGGTAAAAAAAAAAAAAAAAGTGTACCAGTGAGAAGAGCAGTGAGGGCAATGATTTATCTAATGATCCAAATCAAGGGTTAAATTGGGATGTGGGACTCATCACCTCCTCCTCCTCCTCCTCCTCCTCCTGCTTTCCTCCCACTCCCTCCCTCCTTCCCTCCCCTCTCTCCCAAATTGCTGCTTTTGAGGATTTCGCCTTTGCCTCCCATCCAAGGTGCCCCATCCCCTCTGTGGCTGGAAGCCCTTGATAACGCAGTAATTCTCTATCTGTCACCGGCCAGCCGGCTCATGTCTACTGACGCCTGCGTTTAAAAAACAGCATCTTTTTTTTTTTTTTTACTCAATTAGATCTTTAGGCTGGCACCGACTCAAACGGCTAATTAATTTTAAGTCCTCGCCTATAGGTCAGGCGGGGTGGCGCACACTGGAAATAGCTCATCCAGACGCAAAGGGGCCCTCAGAGTGCGGCTAAATGTTTAAAATAATCCCCAGACAGCCGTGGTGACTGTTTCTGTTTCAGCATCACTCGACCTCATTCGCCTCTCATTTGTTTTCATATTAAAATGTTCGAGATTAAAAATTGCAAAATTAAATTTGGCTTTTGTGAAACATTTTCTGATATAAATCTATATGTTTTTGTCCTAAATGATGTCAGGCTATGACGCGTGGTGTGGAGTTGCTCATGGATGCACAAGAAAATTGGGAATGAAGATATGTGGTAAGTCTTTGTTTTGTTTTTTTTTTTAATTAAAATTCTGCAGAATTTGAATTATCAGAGAAAGATCTGGTTTAAGTGTCTTCAGGCGTGACTGCAGGCTTCACGGCCTCCACCGCTATACCCGCAGCTCAGTGGAGACAAGGTGGACGAAATAGGCTTTAAAATATCATCCAAAAAAATAAATAAGATTTACTTTATTAAAACACGTCTGATCTTTCTAACCAGAACAGTAAAAGATGCATCAGCTGCCAAAATGATCAATTTATCCTCCCAATTGGAGCTGATGGAATTAAAGAGGGAATTATGTGAGATGGATTTTCCGATTTCCACTTTGAGAGTCTATCTCAGTGTCATATTAACCAACCAAGGACGATCTGACATCTCCCATAATGGTGAATGTCACGCACCAGTGCGCACGCGACTGCAATTTTCTGGTATTTTTGACCGACACGTTCTGCTGGTTTAATTAGGGCCATTTAATTACTCTGGATATTAAACTGCACAATGCAAAGAAAAAAAAAACACGAAACAAAAATCTTTTCTTGTTTGTATTCTCCAAGTGGTAGCTCACATGGCAAAAAGTTGATTTTGCGCAATTTTCAGATGAGATTTCCGTAAAATTTGGCTGTTTTCTCTCTCCAGTAGGCTTTGTTGATAAATTCTATCAGCTCCGCGGCCTCCTTAGATGTGTCTTTGGCCTGTGTCTTTTCCTGCGCACTGATGTGCACGATGCCGGAGGAGCTTTAATAAGAATTTACAGCCGCTACATGGCAGCGATTTGTTTTTGCTCGGCTGGAGTTTGGTGCTGATGTCACCGGGCTCAACCTCCCATAGAGTCCTCCGCCCATAAATAGAGTCAGGATGGGACCGTTTTCTCATTAAAAAAAAAAAAAAAAGACAGAGAAAGTACAGAGTAGATCCCCGGAGAGAGAAAGAAAGAGAAAGAGAGGAGATAAATGGGAGGAATGGGAGAAGAGAAGTAGCTGTTAGTGGACCAGCAGTGAAACAAGCAGCAGCTCTCATCATGTATGGGAAGTGTGATCATCCTCCGGACTCCTCTTCTTCCTGTAACCGTTTAGGATTCCTGCAGAAGAACAACAGTCTGGAGGAGAGGAGCAGGATCGTGAGCTCCTTCAAGGAGCGCGCGGCCAAGAACCTGCTGTCCTGCGATAACATCGGCGGAGACGCGCGTTTCAGGAGAACAGAGACCGACTTCTCCAATCTGTTCGCCAGAGGTAGGCTCAAGACAAAGATCTGCAGATTAAATGTATTTGACTGTTAAACATAATACAAAACACATTATGCGTTTTAACTCACACTGATGTTAGATTTCTTGGATTTTACGCGTTATATAACATGCGTAAAATCCAAAAAATCCAACATCAGTGTGAGTTAAAACAACCAAATATTCAAGTAATGCTACAAAAATAAATAGCGGATTTTAAAATAATTCTGCAGCATTGGGTATAACGTAAGGCTTTCTGTTTAAACTATCTTTATTGCTTCTGGTGGAGAATGATAATGTCTTAAAGCTTAAAAACTAGTAAAAGTAACCATCAACCTGCTGGGATCCTAGAGATGACCAGACAAGTCAACAATAAATTGCACAAACTCAAGAGCAACCTTTACATTTTGGCTAACAACAACAACCCTAACCAGAATATCCAATCAAACACTGATTTATTTTTTCATGTATTTTTGTAGAACTATTACCTGCCAAAAATGGAGAGGAGCCAACCATGCAGTTCCTGCTGGAGGTCGTGGAAATCCTCACCAATTACATCCGCAAGACCTTTGACAGATCCACCAAGGTGCTGGACTTCCACCACCCCCACCAGCTGCTGGAGGGCATGGAGGGCTTCAACCTGGAGCTCTCCGACCAGCCCGAGTCCCTGGAGCAGATCCTGGTGGACTGCAGGGACACCCTGAAATACGGAGTGAGGACAGGTAGGAGGCCTGAGAGGTGCAACACGGTCCTGCTCCGATCAATAAGTCTCATTAGTTTACTCTCTCACACCCTCAAATGATGAATTGTTTTCTGAGGATTGCGCTGCTTTGTTGTCTCTTTATCAATCGCAGGTCACCCCAGGTTCTTTAACCAGCTGTCCACTGGCTTAGACATCGTGGGCTTGGCGGGAGAGTGGCTCACCTCCACAGCCAACACCAACATGTGAGTGCTGAGAATTAGATGCACTTTGAAAATCATTAGGTTCATTTTATTCTTCTTGTTCCACAGCTGTTTTTGTCCTCGCCGCGTTTCAATGGCCCATGAATAGCAGAGGCTTTCAGTTAGAGGAATACTTGAAGTGACACGCAGTAATTACTGTCTTTGGCTGAGGAATACCCAGCATGCTCTAATAGACTGTCAATCAAGCAAGAAAGTAAAGAGCACAAAAGAAGACTTTTGTGCAGCTTCACCCCGGCAGCGTTGTCAGTGTTGGCCTGCGCTCAGGCTGTGGCCACATAATTCAGCCCTGCAGGCAAACTAAATTACATATTGATCAGCATTCACTGCTTACATGGTGTCTTTGTTTCATGTAAAGCTACTTCCTGTGACATAACAATGCCAGCAGCAGAAAAAGAGCCTCTTCGCTTCAGACCATCTGGACATAATGTGAGCAGCCATCTGAGCAGAGTTTTGTTCCTGCCATGAATCCTTTACTTGTAAAACTTACATTCAGCTCCTTTTTTTTTTCAAACAAATAGTCAGAGAGGTCTGTGCAGGTGGTCACTTTAAGGGCTGGAGTTTGTGGAGATGTTGTGTTACACTGAATATATTATTTGTCATGTTTTATCCCCTAATGTGAGAAAAATGGGACTGAATAATGCAAAATGATTGTATGAGATAACATTTTATTGTGCTAGTAGCTCATAATACGTAGCTCTCACAGCTCAGCATATGATGGTGTAGATAACACTTGGCCAGGACTGTGTGATGTCCTGATGTCCATGATGCATTCCATCATTTAGACGGATTCCGTTTCAGTCAGAGGCCTTGTTGCATTGACTGCCTGTCTCTCTCCCACAAAGCTTCCTCTCTCCATCCCTGAATTAAACTACCAACTAAAGGTGAAAAAGAGAAATTGAGTTACATGCAGCTTCAGGGAACTTAATTATTACAATTCTTCGACTTTGAGCATGAAAAAAAAACACATACAGTTGGCGTAGTTTACAATGATGTCACTAAAGGGAGAAATATTTCCATTGTGCTTAAAAATCTACATTAAGAAATGGATAAAAGTCTGTGAAAAACATTCAATACCATGTTCTAATTGCCTCCCTTTAGGAGGTTATATTGGTTGGAAAATGATAATTCACTGATTCATTAAAGGTCAGCTGTAATCATGAATGCATGATATTGGATTTTTGCAGATATGCCGATATTTTCAAACTCATTTTGGCTTGTTGCTGATGCGTGAATTCTTTTCCCCTGTCATCGCAGAGAAGATCGAGGCTTTCCTGCACACCGTTTGGGCTCCATAAAAAATATTACACTGAGTTAGTGAAGGGAATGAGCTTTTTCTCTTCAATCAAAGGTGTTTTTAATGATTGGCAGCATAAATCCATGTCTTTAAGGAGATTACTAATAAAAATAAAGTTGTTCCAACTAGTTTTTCCACATAGTTTAAACAGAATCTTTGTGCGTACATACCATCATTATGAAGTCTTTAAGTTGGCAGAATTGAAAAAACTCAGGTTGCTCCAGTGTTTAGTGGGTAGAGGAGAGGACTAGAAATCCTGAACTCAAGGTGCAGAATCTATTTGTTGGTAAGCCAATTTTATTAAGTTACCTCAACTTGAATTTACTTTTCAACCAACTAATGCAGAAATTTGAGTTTAAATTACACACAATGTTAAATTACCAACATTGTTGTGTCAACCCAACGCATCAAAATAAAGTTTAAAAGCTATTTTATCTAAATTATCTAAATCGTTAAATTCATCATTGCATTTTTATCTTGCAGCCACACAGTGAAATATGTGCTCTTAATAGGGCTCTTGATTCACTTTTTTGAGTGTAGTTAAAATAAAATATAATTATATCGAATCTTTATGTGATGGTCGATTGGCAAATGAAGACATGAAATAAAATGATGTACACATTCACTGGACAAGCAGAAGAAAATTACATCAGCTTACATGTAAAACGTGCCATATTATGTTATGTCACATTCTCAAACAAAACCCTAAACTTTGAGTCTAATATGTGTTTATTTCCTGCTCATCTTTTTCAGGGAGGAGATGTTTAATTTTTAAGTCTTTCTCAGGCAATAATGATAATGCTGCTGCTGATGTCATTGTGCATCCCTCATTAGAATGTATAAATAAGAAATATATTATGGGTTGCCAGGTTGAAAAAATCACATCATGAGGATTTTCTTTTTTGTTTTTATCACTGACTCAATTTCTAACCCACAACACAGCTTCTCCTTCACTGTTTGACTACCTAAAGATTAGATGTGGGTTTTAAAAGTGAAACTCGGGTTTTAGATTCAGTGCAATTACGAGCCTCTGGGATAATTCTCTAACTTCCTTTTACACAAACAGTCGCCTCACATGTTTTTCAGACACTTCTTCCCTCCTGCTGCTTCAGTCATCAGCCCAGAGCTTCTCTTTAGAAAAGTACTCCGGTTACCTCGTGTGTTATTGGCGACATCACCGTGGATGACTTGAACCAGAGGGTGGAGGTTGCTTACACTCTAATTTACCTTTATTAATTACTCCATCAACCCTAATTACCCCTGGCAGATATTGACTGACATTAATAAACTGACAATCACATCCAGGTCTTACATAATCAGAACGCCTGAGCCTCGTCTGCATGAATGAATGCGGTGAAATTAATGTGCGACATCTGTGAAGTGACATCTGACTTGTTTATTTTTCCCTCCACATTACTGTGTGTCTATATATAAATATGCTGAAGATGCTGAGAGGCACAATGCGACATACTGTAATGTTCCACTGATTCATTTACTTTCTTTGCATGAATAGACCGCTACTTATGTAATTAGAAGAATATTGGTCTGGAGAAGATGGATGAGGCTGCCTGTGCTGTAATTTCAAATTGACTGTGCTCTTCTCTGAGGCACACTGTTTTTAATGATTATATGGAGAAACTTATATACTCAAAGAGGATAAAACATTACAGAAATTCAAGGCACGTGCAACAATTTTGTTTTGTTTTTTCAGTTAAACAGCAGGCCTTTCTCACCATTTCTGCAATATTTACACTAAATGATAATCCCTTTAAATGAGCTGTGGTTATATTTGAAACATTCTTATTTGAATAACATCACATTTCTTGATAATTTGCAGGAAAAACTGCTTCTGAAGTTGTATTAATGAGTCCAAAACTTGTGTTTTAATTGCCCATGCAGTACATTTAGAGTCTACATATGCACAGTGTTAAATATCTATAACAACAATTTCCCTGAGGTTTGCACCAAA